ACAATTTAAGGCCTAAAAGACCGTTGGGAGGAGAGATTATTTATATTGGCCAAGTTTTCTGTCTACCAGTGCATGGCATATTGAATGGGGACATAAGGATGTTTTAACAGTTTAAAAACTCAGTCTAGTGGACCGGTAGCTCGCGAAAACAAAAAGGCACATCATTGAAAAGATAGGTCATCTGCTTACCTATTCGCTTCTTCAACTGAATCCGGGTCAATGGATGCCGAAGTTTTTAATGTCGACTTCACAGTCGACATCAAGTCTTCTCACTGTGAGATATCATCCGGGACAGGTTCTTGCTTTGAAACATATCCAACATATCTCAAGTGGTATTTGTTACGGTAAACACCGTCTTAATGTTGATAAATAACCACAAAAGCGCCCATAACGCCGCTTTGGCAGTACAGCAGACAACTGCAGTACATCTGACCTTATGTTATATGAAACGACATGAACCAGCGTGGAATAAAAAACATCAGCCCAGAGCGCCGATACACTACAGGGCCACCTGGTGTTGATTTTTTTGTAACCATTAATCTTGAAATAACCATTTATCCGTCTATATACTAATTATATTTTCTTTTTGTTTATTGACTCTTCGTCGACTCTATTCATTTAGGGGTTTGGCTACGTCAGGTGAAAGTCTTCGTTTACAAATTATCGTTGTGAAATATTCGCTAGCGTCAATAAATTGAATTTAAAAGCCAAAGTTTGTGTTAACTGGGCCAAAGAGTTTTGCACGAACAGTGCTGTATATTCTAAATGCATACTTTAGATTTTTTATACTCTACAATATAATGTCTTGTTTTCTGAGGTTAGGTGGTTGGTTAGAATGCAAAGAATTTCAGATTTTTTTCCAAATATTGACTACTGTGAAATTTTGACTGTTACTATTTTACAATTCCACAAAACAATTACCCCTAAAAATTACAGTTGGAGGTATGTTGTGGTAGTACGCATTCTTTTTAAGCTCCTATCCTACGGAAAACCAAGCTTCTATGGTTTTTCTCCTTCTTATACTTTGTTGGGGGCTGGGGTTTTTTTTTTTTTTTTTTTTTTTCGGAGAACGGGCGAAAATCGGTGCGCGCGCAGGATGTCATCCATAAAAATAAAAAAGTGTGGCCTTATCTTTGTGAACTAGTTTCATTTTCCCCCACGTTCATCTGATCACTGACTTTTTAAAAAACAAAGAACTGGCAGACTAAAAACCTATGGTGACAAGACTTGTGTGGTATCGACGGTGGAATGGAAAATACTGTTCATCGAGCCTGGGTTATATCACCACAATTTGCCGTAAGACATCTTCATTCGTGTTCAGATACAGCATAGGCGGCTATAAGGGGGTCTCCCATGTCGTGACCAACTGCCGTTACAATACTCTGGAATTTTGAAGCCAGTTATTCCAGCTCATGAATTCAGGCACTACATTGTTTTCATGGCGTTAATTACACAGGTTGTTACTCCGTCCTGTTTGAAAATGCAGTGATTATATTGAGGGTGTAAATCTAGAAGATGGTTATTTTCAGGAGACTGCAAAACCGCCATCGAATTTTGACCGTTTACGCGTGGTGTATCACACTATACGTAAGCTACTAAGTAAAAGCATCTCTTTGTCAGAGAAAGTAACAATTCACTGAATTATTCTGAATATTTTTCAAGAGAAGTTTTTAATCCCTCCCCGAATGTATCAAATTTGCCCCACAGAAAGCGTTCGCCACATACCGAGTATAACGGTCCTGTAAATAACATCTGTAGGCCTACACAAAAAGAGCTAACATTTTAATATCATATCATTTATTTCAAATTTCAAGCCGCAATACTCTACGGTGTATTCAAGCACAGCTGCGCAAATGCTGAACTTAAAACCACACACCAACCAACTTTATGTCAACACACTAGCGGACATTTCAATAAATACTTCTGTAAGGCCGTCTTTGGTCGTACACGACAGCCACTCTAATCCGTTGACTTAATTTGCAAATTTCTTCGGCAGTTGTTAATGTAAAATAGTAAAAGGTGTTCAAGACTAATAGATAATGTAATAAGTTCCCTTCCACATATATGATGTCACCATCATCTATATTATCAACTGCATTTATCCTTTAGCACAATAATTAAATTATAATATTAATAAATTAGTGTTTAGTGTTTCACAGTGGCGTTTCGCAAGTTTTCATTTAAAGGCTCGATCAAATGATGATCAAGGTATTACATATACAGAATTAGAAAGAAGTGACACTTTCGTAAAAAGCAAGTACGCTCCGATTGAAATGCGTTAGGTGAGGCAGCCAAGACATTTACAGATTGAAGATCTCTAGAAACCTACACTCAGAACGAGACCGTTGAGTGGAAAGTGCCAGCCTTAACAACAACACCTACTGTAAAACACTTAATGCTCAGCAGTTCATTAGTGAATGAATCAATTATCACGTTAATTGCACTTCATAAAATTAAAAGAAAAAGATTAGCCCTGTATGAACAATAACATAGCACCACTAATGTATGTATAATTATATACCACAAATAGGCTATTCCCTAGAACTCCATAAAATCATTTCTTACCATCAACTATATCTGTTTTGATATATTCATTGAGATTATACTTTGATAAATTGAAATTGTTTTCTCTGGCTTTGTAATTACCATTTCCTCAAACATAACTATAAGAAAGAGGCAGATTATATATTTTTCTTTTTGAATAAAAATGTTCTTATGGCATCCTCAGAATGAACTGAACATAGTATTTGTGGCATATTTTTTTTACTGCTTCCTGTCATGACACCATTAGAATATGTTTACCACATAAATACAACAGACTGACTTTCAAATACAGGGAAGTCTTATTTTTGGCAACATGGCTAATGACTAAAGCAATGCATAATTTCAGTTCGCACTTCCAGTCAAGTTGTGACAGTGTAACTAAGTAAAATACATCTCTGCAGACCATGTAATTACCACTGGTTAAAACAAGAAGCCAGTCTTAACTCTGTTCAAGAATCCTTCATCTTGGTTTGACATTAAAGACTGGGATCCTCCACAGATCATCAGAATGTACCTGCCCAAGCAAAACAATTGAAACTGGTTATTGTTGTTAGCATTTCATTTCCTCATAGCAATTTACTTTCAATACTTTGACCACAAATCTGGAAGGTAGTATTTACGAGTTATCCAGCCAAAATATATACAACGGTGCCTGAAGTTCAAGCCTGTTTGTAATTTTTAGTATCGAGCAAATTTGCACAGTTCATTTTCTTGGTGGAGGGGCAGGTGGTATCAGCGTGCAGTTTGTATGTCACAACTTGTCTAAAACTGCCACCTTACATTGTAATAACAATAAAGATAGAAATGTCATTAACAGTTATATCCCTAAACCTGTGACTGCCCTGTTATTTCCTACCTCTGAATATCCATGTAAAGAAACTGCAATAGCATGCAGTACCACTCTAGATAATACATGTCTTTCACGGTCATGATTAAATATGAACTAAAAAACTTACTGTGAAGTCATGTACACATTCAATGCAAACCTGGATAATAGTGCAATTGCAAATCAACTGAAACTTGGACACTTGAAGACAAAACTGTAAAACCAACACTCTTCAAAAGCATAAAGCTGAATCACCCAAATATATTGCAACAAACTGTAGATGTAATACTGAGGCATACAGGATTGACTGGTATGGAGTTTAAGCACAATGAATAAAATAATTATAACTTTGTACACTTCAACTCTACAAAATCATATACAAAAAGTTCAACCTAGGCATATATAAACTTATAATTTTGTATAATTCCGAGTGAAAGACATATTAGTACAAAAATAAAATGCCTTTTGAAAAGGACACTCAAAACACTGCTTTTGAATTAGAGCAATTATTTTGTACATACCATCTCAGCAATATTTGCTAAAGAAAATTTAACACATCACACTGGCTCACACCAACATCCACATCATTCCAGAGCCATGTGAGAGGTCAGTGATTAACCAATAAAATCATTTTGTTCATGTTACCAAGTAATTTTTATGTTACTAATAGCATCATTTTTCTCTTGTAAAAGTAGACAGGTACCTGTATATAATGATGGTTTTCAGTTCACATATTTCACTATCAATAAAGTGAACAGTGGAACAATGTCATGCTGTGCTCGGTCAGAACATGGCAATATGAGCTCATTAAATTGCAGCATGCAGTCTAGTTTTCTAATAATTCAAATCTTTAACAAGTTCTGTAGCCAAGAAAAAAATGGCTTTAATTGTCAATGAAGTTACTGGCCTTACAAAAAGTGAAAATTGGGAGGAATAAAAGGTACTTCTATTTTGCTACCCTATAACCTATTTTTAATGTTCAAATCACTCGAACAAACATCATTTCTTTTTCTTTGGATATTAGCAAAAACACATCACATCCTCAGATTTACAAGCAAAAAAAAACACCAAGCAATCCTTCTGCAAACTGTGCATACATTTTGAAATGCTTTGTATAGAGGGTAAAAGGTAACACCTGTATCCAAGGCTGTATTCCTGAGCCTAAAAAAATAGATAACTTTTCATGCATGGTTTGGCAATTTGAAAACAAGCATCAGCACAAAAAAATGCACTGCCAAACTGATATTTGCATTTACATATTTGTGAACAGTAAAAACAAATCTCTCTACGTCTTGTGCAGACATAGTTAATAATGCATGTCCAGTGAACACTATACCTAACAAAAATTTTCACATAAACACAAATACATTTACATTATGTGATACTGTCAGGCTTTCAGCAAAAGTTCTGCAAATGAACCATATTTATAACAAACAAATAGTATCTGTCACAACTGCGGTGCATTTGCAGAGAATTTTTT